TTAACAAGACTCGTAGATGAGAAAGCTTATATTCAAGACATTTTGAATCGATTAAGAATGCCACATTGTAATCCAACAAACACATCTATGTTTTCTTCATACATTTCAAAATTAGAATATATATGACGTGTATTCTAGTCAAAATAATTCAATTCAATCTGAATCTACTGTCACGTTTGTGCAACCCAGTAGAAGTTGCTCACTGTGGAGTAAGAGAGGCATGCTATCAATGAAAATGAAATATTGTTTTCATTATCTTTCGGTGTTGTATAGTTATTTGGTTCATAGAGAAACGACAAAGAAATTTTAGTTTGGACTATTTTTTTTTTCGGTGCCGAGAATCTTCAGGAACCATATGTGAATAATAAAATAAAAGTGCGGCCTATGAAATAACCATTAAGTTAAAAATGATCAACTGATAATAGAATAAATTAATTTTGGTGGGTGTTCATGCACAAAATTTTTCTACTGCCCAGTCTGCCTTTTGCCAAGTAATATGACTAATTTGAAAACTTCCCACCCTTGATATCTTCCTTTCAGTAAACAATATGAGGAATCGAAAAAATAGGTAAATTTTATTGTCATAGGAAACACTTTCAAGGACTACATGTAGCTCTCGTGGTTCAACCCCATAGCAGGAGTAGATGTTACCCTTAAAATTTTAAATGGAAAGGGCACATCATTTTGATTGGCGTTCAATTCTGCTTCCAATGGTACCCCGACTTATTATTTTTTGATGAGCATTTTCCGAAAAATTGCGTTCTAAACTCACACATGTAATTAGAATTTGTCTGTTCTGAGATGCTTTATTATATTAATTCCTTTTAATAAAAATGGTTGGAAGAGTAGGTGGCACCGTTCCAACCCTTGAATTACGTGCGAAAATTTTTATTTGTTAGTTATTGTCCTTTTACAAAATAAAATTTAATTTGCGAGAAAGACATTTCAAACATGAAATCTACTTATGCTTGTCTTACAAACTGTTCAAAATGTCATCCATTTCGCTCTAAACAGTAATGAAGTATGTTTTCGAACTCCCCTCTAACATTACGGAAAACTTTACTAGGCATGACTGGCATGCTGCTGCAATTCATCTTTTAAGTTCTTCAATAACAGAAGGTTGTGATTTATAAACAACAGATTTGATATGCCCCCAAAGAAAGAAATCTAAAGGTGTTAAATCCGGCGATCTCGGAAGCCATTCAACTGCTCCCCTTCTGCAAATCCATCTATCCGGAAATCTCTCGTTTAACCACTGTCGGACGGGAAGAAAATAATGAGGTGAAGCACCGTGCTGCTGGAAATGTAACAGATCATCCAAAAGTTCATTACCTTCTGCATCCATTTGAGTTTCTAGCTTGTGAGTTATAAGAGGATCGATAGTCTCTTCAAGCATTTCAAGGTACAGATTGCCAGTCGAATTTTCATCCAGAAATAATGGATCAATAAATAATGGCATTTCCAAGAACACCAGCCCAAACATTAACTTTTTGTGGGTGTTGTGAGTGCCCTTCCCGAAAAATATCTGGGTTTTCAACACTCCAATAGCGACAGTTTTGTCTATTAACATTGCCATTAAAAAAAATGAATACTCATCATTGGAACAGATGTTTAACAGAAGATTAGGGATGATATTGACTCAATGAAACATGATTTGACAAAACTTCATTCTTCTATCATAATCATCCTCGTGAAGCTTATGAAGAATCTACATTTTATAAGGATGAAATTTATGCATTTTCAACGTTTTTCTTACAATCTCGCGTGACATTCCTGTTTGTTCTGATACTGATCTTAAGGTGCTCGTGGGCTCTGCAGCAAATGTTTCCAAAACTTCAATTTGAGCCGCTTCATTTAGTACTCTGGGGTTATTTTTTTTTTCCTTATTCACCAAATCAAGCACATATCGGTGACTTATATTACAATTTGGATGTCTTTCTACACTTTTATATACTTATTAGCCTGTGTAAAAGGATTGTGTAATCCTTTGTTCGTTCTTACCATGCTCAGGTGTAAGTCATTTCTACCCCTTGTATTATACTCATAAAACTGGTTGTTGACTAGTAGATCGTTGTTGCTTTTGATTCTTTTGTTTTTTATTTTATAAATGTTCTTGCATTGCTCAAGTTTAAGTAGATATTTAATTGGGTGTAGCTCAGTCTGTGAGAATAAATCATTTGTATTGGTTCAAAATGGATTTATTTTGTAGTGTTTGAATTTTTTTGAAATTAGTAATGCCACAATTACC